CACGAGGTCGATTAGTCAGAGTATACGGAAGACCGCGGTGTGTGATTTGCGAACATCACTCGGTATTATAGTAAGGACATCTAAAAAATCACGTGGGAACACTGAGGACTGAGTTTGAAAAAGGAATGAAATTGCCGTCATATTCAGCTCACCAGGATTGGAGTTAAATAATTAAGTCTAATCAGTCCTGGAGAAAAAGTGGCATGGTCGGAACTTACTATTTGCTAAACATCTTTGGGTCCAGGGGCGAGGTGACGGAGACAGCACATGCAGAATACTGTCTGCCACAAGTGAACGTACTTGCTTTGTCTGGTCTTTCCAAGAGCCCTGAGAGACTCTCAACTTTCAGATATGGACGTCGAGGCTTAGAGAATTCCGGTTACTTTCTCCAAGTCAATTAGAGCTCAAAACTATCAAAAGGACTTCAATTTTCTGACTCCACGTCTTGTGCTGCCCAGAGACTGCCCACCAGGCCAAGGAGCAGAGGAGATGTAGCTGGCCACTTCAGATGGAGCCCCAGTGCCAGTCCAATGCTAGAGGGGCCTGGGATGGTGGGAGGGGCAATGAGTTAGAATCAAGATGGAGGACGAGGCCGCAGCCCAATGGTAGAGGACTGGCGAGTCTGGCAAAGAGGAGGAGGTGGCAGATGCATTCCAGGAGCCACATGGGCACCAGGTCCTGCCCAGAGTTAGGTGAGAGACTGGGGGAGAAGGAACATTTGGGTTTCAGGGACGGTGGAATGCTGAAGAGTTTGGGACATGTAAGAGCCACAGTTTGTCACCATCCTGACATGTTCCTGAAATGTCCAATCCCAACTGTCCAACAACCCAATCCTATCTGCCCAGGCATAGCCCTGACTCTCCTCTACGAGGACACTGGAACAGGTGTGCGGTGTCACAAGAGGACAGGTTGGCTGGGCGAAGGGAACTTTGATGTAATCCTCTTTCTTCCACAGTGGGTGTATTGCTTTGATCCAGCAGTGCAACCCCTCTGAGGCTCAGTTTCCTCATCTGTACCTTAGGACAACAGTGCCTACCTTACAGACTTCACGTGGGGATTAAATGAGACAAGTCAGGTAAGACGTTCAGCATTTAATAAGAGGAGCAGAGGAGGGACGCCATCATTCTTTGTTGAATAAACGAGCATATAGTAATATATTTGCTCAATTGTATGTTTACTCAATAGCTCTGAAGAAAGCTTGAAGCCCAGGGAAAGGAGGTTTATCTTAGCTAGTGCTGCTTGGAAGACAAGAATTTCACATTTTCCCCCAGTTGTAATTGAAACATTCCAATTTGGGAAACTGGGTCAAGCCATATCACTGTGCATTAATTATAAGTTGTGATTCCAGCAACCTGTGGAAAGATGAGAAAATAGTCCAGCACCTGTAGTTGCTCACAGCGACAAGCGTGCCTCTGATGAGTTTCCAGAATCACTGTCCCTTCCTATCGCACCGACCTTCATGGTCTGCAAAGAACCGCTCATGCCCATGATTACATGTGACCTGCCTTCAAGGACAGTCACGCTCTCCTGCTTTGTAGACGAGGACATTAAGGCCCCAAGAGCTGAAAGGGCTTGCTCGGGTCATGCCCAGGGTTTGGTGGCAGAGCTGGAGTTGGGATCCCTGGGTCAGGCACTCTCTGATCATTGCTACATGTACTCTGCTACCTTGTTAAAGGTGTAGGGCAGAAAGCCACAGAGGGTTCTGCCTGGTCTCGCCTACCTTGGTCTTACCTGAACCTTTACCAGTAGGTTCTGAGGGTTCCATCTGTAGATTGTACTCATCCCTGTTCCAGAACCAGTTTAGATGGAGCAGAAGGAAGAGCAGCAGCCTCTTCCTGTAGAACTATGGGGTCACAGGAACTAGGTCCATAATATTGCATCCCAGGACCTGGCAGACCGGACAGGATGCCGTCCTCCACTCAGGAGCTGTGGTGATCTGGCCAGAGGACTTGGGTCAAGTCCAGCTCTGAGTTAGGGGCGGTGCATTGATGTGGAGGGTCAGAATGTTACATAGGTGGGGAAGA